CTTAATTTTTACTTTTTTAGTTTGTTAATGCCGATTATTTACAAAAATATAGTACCAAAGTACCAACTAGATTCACTATTTCTGATCGAACGAGGTACTGAAGTCAAAAATCGAAGCMCTTTTACTGCCCCAAAACGTGATGACAGACACACAAAAATAAAATAAAATAAAAACGCATATCATGGTAAAATCAATACATTCATCACTCCGCTCAGGATTTAAAATAAAATAAAAATCTCTCTTTATATTATTAATAATTAATATAAAATATTTTTTTATTACCACGGTYCTAAGCAAAGCTATAAATATCAATGATATCACGGCGTCTGTAGTCGTAGTTCTAACCGAACTGCCACTATAATCATCAGGCTATACAACCATAGAGCTTTACCGYTTTACGTCTATACGTCTTAATTGAGTTAAATCGGATTCATAGTATACGTCACAATCGTCACATGTCGTCAGGTCGAGGTCGTGTCGTTTCGTGTTCAAAACTACTTGAACTCCAGAAATTTCACGATAGATCATGGTTACTGGTTATAGTGATTGATACCACGGTCCACGATTACAACGGCCGATCAGAATACGATATAAAGAACACGCTACACGAAAYACGACGTAACTTTGAATCTAGCTATATTATTTAGGCCTATTATAATCTATACACATACATAATAATTGTCATAATTCATAATATATAGTATATAGTATATACCTTATACCTACAGTATTAAATATAATATGGTCAAATAATGGTAACTCGAAGTTGAAGGGACAAGGGGATAAAAAGTCACTCTGATATAATTAAGCCTGGACATAAATGAGTTAAAAAGTAAAGTAAAGTTAATTTTAACCTTTTTAACTTTTATTAAATTCATTTTTAACATACCTAACATATTTTCATTGATATAAACTTAATAAATAACGAGTTATTTTTAATCAAATTCAAGTTAAATTAATTTATAAATACCTAATTAAATAATAAATAAAATACAATTATTATTGATAGTGCGCATATTATATAACCATTTCCTAGAATAGGAAACAAGAAAATATATAGTTAAATTTATTTCTTGTTCCATTACCAGAATTCTTCAAAAGATATTAATTAGGTAAATACATGTATATTTAGCAATAGTCATATGCCCAATATAGGACATTGGTATATCGTATACATAATAAAGATATACCATATCATACTGCGGCCATATGGGTATATCATAATAATACTAATAACTAATAAGTAATATGATATTAAGAGGACGTGATACCCGCATGTATTGTCTCCGTCTTACAAATGCGTAACATGGTACATTTTTCGCTCAGCAGAACACGTGTAACTCCGTTAACTTAAAAATTAGAGTGAACTGACCTCTTATAAAATTTAAAGGTAAGATTATTATCTAGACAACCTCATATGCTTTTTATTTTATATCAAATTTAAAGCGAGTTATGAGTATTTTAAAATTGTGAATTTTTTGTGCATCTTAAAATACTCATAACTTCCTTTAAAATTTAAATGTATTAAAAAGCATATGAGGTTGACTAGATAATAATCATACCTTTAAATTTCATAAGAGGTCAATTCATTCTAATTTTTAAGCAAACAGAGCTACACGTGTTCTGCTGAACGTAAAATTTACTATATAATGCACTTGTAAGACAGAGACAACACATGCGGGTATCACGTCCTCTTAAACTATTGTATTGATAAAGATACAAATTACAAATGTAAGATTCTCAAAAACATTATTATAAAATGTTTTTGTCCTAAATAAGTTATTATTAAATTTAAACCAATTGGGTTATGCTCATATTATACATTTTGTATACTTTTGGTACCTGCCATATAATTATAATTTATAGGTATTCATCAGTATCTAATAATTTAATTATATTCCTATGCATAGAAAATCTATTGCATATTTTCCTTGTTCAATAATATTTATGATTTTTATTATTTTAAACCTTAATACTGGGTATGTATATATACAGGTGTCCCGTGAGGATTTACCCATTACGATATCTCCCGAAATAATGGTGATATCGAAATTTTGGTTTTGTAATAAGACTCACAGGAATAAGAACTACAAGTATTTCATATTTTAATTTATTTTTATGTATTGGTAAAAAAATTAAAAAATATTTTTATTTATTTAATTATTTCCAAAAATATTAAAGATAGCCATTTTGTAGAGTTTATTTTTCTGAAAATATTGACGTTTCAAAATTTTAATTTCATTAATTTGCCGATTTTTAATATTTTTTTTAGTTTCGAGAAAAACTGTGAATGACACCATAATGTTATCAAACATGTGACCCGCAGCGCTCGTGCATATTCTCATACGGCCGTCCTAAAATCAAGAAATTAATGAAAATAAAATGTTGAAACGTCATTATTTTCAGAAAAATAAACTCTACAAAATGGCTATCTTTAATTTTTTGGAAATAATTAAATAAAAAAATATATTTTTTAACTTTTTTACCCAAACATTAAAATAAATTAAAAAATGAAATAAYTKTAGTTCTTATMCMTGTGAATCTTATTATAAAACCAGAATTTTGATATCTTCATTATTTCGCTAGATTATATCGGCGATATCGCAATGGGTAAATCCTCGCGGGACATCACCCTATATAGATATAAAAAAAAAAAAAAAAATAATAGTATTAATTTAAGTTAATAAGTTAATTGAAAATGTTCATATAACTTTTAACTTCACTAAGTTATAAAAAAATATCTTAACTGTTAACTTTATACTTTTTAAAATGTTTTACGTCAACTTAACTTAGTTTAAAAATTATCATTAACTTGTTCAGGCTTGGATAATATATACCTACCTGTTCAACTATTCAAGACATTTAGGTAACTCGAATTATTAACCCAACCTAACCTCAAGGGGAATATAAACAATTAAGTTGTGAAGTTATTCGAGTTATTGGCACGATATTATACTACTATAGTATATATAAGTATTCATATACATATTATAAATCATAATATTATGTTAAGTAACTCACTGTTTAAGAACAAAAACTAAAATGTGTAGGAGGTAAGTTACTAGGTATTGCCCCATTGCCATTTGCCACACCATATAGTTCATTAATTTTATAACTCATTGCCAAGTATAAGAAGCATTTATAAGTATAAAATTACTTTCACCGACGTCGTATACTTAAAATTTGAATAATTCAATGTCACTTGGCGCATATATTTTATATAGTATATAATATATATACTATACTTATATACTACTTTATAGTGCATGTAGGTTCAGATGATAATCTAGAGATTAATGAATGATATATTATATCAATAATATGCTTGTTTATTAAGTAATAAGAACAACATATAAAGAACCTTGTATTACATTTTAGAGCCTAAACTATTCAATTTGAACATTTTTAAACAACAAAATAATTAGAAAATSTTTATATGAATTGGAATTATTTTTTGCAGCATTTTAACTTGAAATGTGCATAATTTATTTATTGTTTATTAATTTATTATTTACTGTTACAATTAAGAGGAGTCTTGTTTTTAATTTAATTTTAATTTTTTTTTCGGTATCTCTGCAGGGCATTAAAGTTTTTTATCGATATTTTAAAAAGAAAATTTGAACATTTTAAACGTCTATAAATAGCTTAAATTTAATCTAAATAATACTTTAAACTTTTGATACGTGCAAGTTATAGTGGAATATTACAATATTTTTTGAAAAATAACAAAAATAGTTGTATGATAAATTCTAATTATACACTTGACAATCCAATGTGATTGTTGATCAACTGCAAACATTTCCATGTTTCAGAGGTTCAGACGGTTTTAAATTCACAGGTAAACTATAAAACTGATCGAGGGTAGCTTCACTCGCTTCTATACAGTTCTATAATTTATTGCTTTAAGCAAGTCAGCAAATCCAGTTAAAAAGTAAAATCTCAATATGGAAACTTTCAAAGTGCTATTTCATAATGGAAGTGTTAGCAGGCAAGGAGGTATATAAACTGTTATTAGTACAATTTAGTTGTTTTAGTTACCTATATTCATAAATTAGTATTTTTTTTTTATTGGTAAAGCATCAACTACATAGGTTATGAACTTTAAAAAAAGTATTAAATTTTTACAATTTTACATGTAATTGTGCAATTCGATTTTTTTACGGTATACAATTATGTTTTGGTAGTTTGAAAATGGACCAATTGCTTCGTACAGGTTGTCGGGAATGATAATAGTATTATTATTATACGGTTATGAATTTTGAAATTAAAGCTTTGAATGCTTTGATTATATACAAAAATCAATTTAATACCTAAATAAGATTATCGCTAACAGTTCCAGCAATTAAATATATTATGAATAAATATTACATTCGAAAAACAATTCAGATTTGTTAACGTTCAACATTGAAATTTGAAGTATTAACATAGGACAATATTATCCTCAAATGTTCATACTTCATTATTCCATGGTTCCAATTCCACCACCAATTTACTGCATAATGGAACCTATCATAAGATACAATTATATATTGTCAATGGTGACTGGTGGATACCACAGATTTTTCAAAATAATTTATATCAATATCAAATCCAAATGACAAATTCAATTTTGACTTGACACTTAAATACTTATACTTAATAATTTATTATCCTCAATCAATACTATGGAAAAAAAAATCAAATGTTACCCGCCAATCACCGTATTTTGTTTAAGCTTCTTCACATCTTTTTATTCCATAGTAATTTATATTGTTTCGAACTTCATACTTATCATTCAATATTTAATTTTTATGTTGATTTGATAAATTTAATATGTAATATGTATAATTTATCATTTATCATGTCATTTATTATAATTCAAAATAATCTAGGCTAGAGTGCTAGACCTCTAGATCAGTCACCACTCACCACCTTTTGGCAATCGTCATTCATCACCGCCGCTTGTCCACTGACCACTCGTCAATCGTCRTACAATACTCACCACTTGCTTATCTGGGTCGGTACTCGCCAGTGTAAAATAATTAAATAATGATGTTCAATGTAATATGTAAACATTACGACATTAGTATTTATTAATCATTGGAAGAAGATACCTACTTGTAAATTAAGAACGTCTGATCTGAAGATTTTCAAGATTATAATTTTTGATAGTTTCGCAGGGTATTCTGAGGTTGAATCATTTTAATGCTTAATGTATGTTTATAATTATAACAACATTACAATAAATAAAAAATTATATATTTCACAATCCTAATCTATATTTACTATTGAAATATAATTATTGATAAACAATCCTTTTTGAAATGTCAAAGAAAAACATTGCTGCATTTACATATAATAAATAAAAGTCACAATTTTTCATCAGAAGATCTAAATAAGAATTAAACTTCAAAGAAGGATGTTGTTCCAACTGTTAATGTTAATGTGAGTTTATTAGTATTATTGAAACTTTACTGTAGTTATAATTGAAAATGCTTTTGTTAGGTAGAAGTCAATAATTTATTGAAGTTAAAATAATTGGGTCTTGTATACTTACTAAGTAAATTTTTTTTTTAGAAAACTTCAAAAAGACAAATCATAGTATAATGTTCTGAACCTTACAGACTACAATGATTATTTTTGCTGAAGTAAATTAAACCTATGAAGAAGCATTAAGAAACAATAATTGCTATTAAACAAGGTATGTGATCATTTAATTATCGACTTTGTGTAAGACATAGTATTAATACCCCGTACTATAACTCGCTTCTAGTCGGCGGTCAATTGTAATTTTACTTAACTATTATAAATTAATCTGAAAAAAACTTCACAAAAAATATTAATCACAATTAAATGACAACATCACTTGAAAATTTATACCATTTGAATTGAATATCTTTTATGGTAATTAGATAAATTTATCCTATAAATCAGATTACATAAGTACTAGTTTTTTATGTCATATATAAAATATACTTATAAAAAATAAGTGTAATAATATGATTGTGCAAGAATAGGGTAGGTATATTTTCGTAATTTAATTATTTTATGTTCAAACAATGTCATCATGTTAAATTAATAAAAAAATGTATTATTTTAAAATGTTTTCATGATTTAAACAACAATTTTCTTTTATTGGTAACTTAGTTCTTTTCATAAACCACTTATATTATCCTTAATTGTAATTTCGCTATAGATATTTATTATTTAATATGTTACAAATAATGTTGTAACTTAAGTATATATTAATCTAAACAATTTTTTTTTTTTAAGAAGAAGCAGAAGCAGAAGAAGAAGTTTATATTCAGACTGATCTGCACAAGTGTGATTGTTCAGCTAAAAGTTTACATACCAACCGACTACCATATTAAACAAAAGTAGTAGAGTAAACCAATTTTTTAAAACTGGTCGCACTATTTGACGATTGGAAAATTTATCAGGTTTGTTTGTTTTTTATTTATTTATAATTAGTTTTCACTGATTTACTGAAAGTAAATACTGATTAATAATAATAAGATTGGTTTAAGTAAAAAGAAAAAAGCCTTTCTGTGTTCATTAATTATTCGTGACTGATAGTTTTTGAATTATTTAAATCATTAAAATAAAGTTGTATATATCATAACATTCATAACAAACATTTTGTACAAAATAGTGAATATTAAATTACCAGATTTCTCAAGAGAAAAATAATATTTATGGTAGAATATTATTTATTAATCTTATAATATAAATTTAATTATTTATGCTTTCTTTTCAATTCAACAGAGTTAAATTTGATTATATTTTAACAATTACTTCTAAACTCGTTTATTGATTAATGGAACTCGAATTGGGTTATTAATTAAATAGTATCTATAGAGGTTGATTCATAAGGATTCATAAGGTTTTACACTTGTAAAACACTCCTTATTTCTAAAAATTATTTGCATTTTCAAAATTTTAGATTCATGCTGTTCTAGAACTATTTATTTTTTTTATATTTTCCACCCTTATATTTATTAGGTAAACCACTATTAACTTTTGATTTTCATCAACATCATTAAAATTTCATACACTAATAGTTATTTTTTTTTTAATGAATTGTCACGTTTGAATTTTCATTATAAAAAAAATAAAACCTTATTAGCTTATGAAATTTTAAGTATTTTGGTTGTCATTTGAAAATCAAAAGTTGATAATGGTTTATCTAATAAATATAAGGGTGAACAATTTTAAAAAATCATGAAAAAATAAATAGTTTTTAGAAATAATGAGTGTTTTAGGCCTTATGAATCACCCTGTATTATACATTTTTTTTCTAAATATTAAAATAAATGTAATATTTGTACAAATTCTGTTAAAAAGTAGTGCAAGAGAATTTTTTTGTTTAATAGGATTATGGTAATTTGATTAATCCATACAACTTATCTCATGATCACATAGGAATTTTTAAACGTGCTCTTGTTTATATTTGATATTAATTTTAAACAAATGTTATAAAAATAAATTTTAATCATTAGCTATTTGTACATAAATGAAAAATATAGATGAAAATGTTAAAAAAAGAGGTAATATTTTTTATAAATATTATTGAAAAATAATAATTAGCGTATAAAATATTTAAAATATTTGAATAATAAAATTTAGCATATTATACATATTTAAAAATAAATTTAGGGTTTATCGTTTTTTCCCAAATTTCTTTGGAGTTCAAGACCCAACATTTTTTTTTTTTAGCACCAAGGTAACAGGTACCTATTTTAGGTTTATATCACAAATGTTCAGTTTCTTAACTATGATATTTTTGGATACTAATGGAATATATAGAAATGTTCAACAATGACAAGTTAATAAATTTAGTTTGAATTTGGCAAATACTTTTGCCAGAGTACAGTAATACACCTATCTAAGTAGTATTTCATGTTTAAGTATTTAAATACTTGTAAAAACAAATTAAGATGCATGAAAATTATTTTCAGTAAATTTTCCATTCAATTTCTACAATTTAAAAAAAAAAAATTTATTTATAACGATAATAATTTTTATTTTTGTATAAATATCTAATTTTTTCAAGATTAAATTATTACAAATATCTTTATTTATTACACAAAATCTAATTATATATCTATATTTTTAAATTTTGAATATGTTTATAAAAAAAAAACTGACAATTTTAATGAATTATTTGAGAATAGACTATTAATGTTATAAATAATATTGTAACTGATTGCATAAAGTAGTTCAATATTTGATAGTTTGTTATTTAATTATTTGCTTTTCTCATGTTTCATGAGATTATTAAACCACTCCCATTCTTCACACGTAGTGTAGATACTACCTAGTTATAATATCTGTACATATATCAGTGTTTTAAAAATAAGTTGTCATTAAAATATAAGATAATAAGATTATACTAAATGATTAACCATCTTTATAAATAGTATTATGGTTTTGTATGAATTGAACTACATTTTAAGTATTTAATTTAAAAAAATATATATTATTATCATAGTTAAACATGTATAAAAACAAAGCTTTATACCAATCAAACAAAGTAGGTTCATTTTGTTATTCATTATAATTTGTAAATAATGAGTTGTTAGAAGAATCCTCGAAAAAAAAATTATTTAGTGTTGTATGAATATTGTATTAAATTTCAAGTATAAAAAAATAATATATTATTTTTATTTTTAAATTTTTTATAAATCGCCCCATAATATAAAACAATAATTTATATTTATTAAATAAATATTAGACATTATACATTACTGTGTGTACATACTAAATTGAGTATTGGTTCTAAATTTAAATTTAAATTGAACCAAAACTTAACTGAAATGAATCATTATATATTTGGTACAAATAATTTTTTAATTATTAGTATGATTATTTGTGTTGATTTGTTTTAAATAAATAACTAATTGGGCTTTCCTTAAAAAGAATTTGAATATAATGAAGTAGTTTGATTATTTTTTTTAAATTAATTAATTTTTATACAAGTTTTATTCTTAACACATTTTAAAGTGTTAAGTATTTTGAAAAAAAAWTATTTTAATTGTACTATATTCATCAAATTTGATGCTATGTAATTGTACATAATTAAATTATATAACTCTTAAAATCTTTTGCAATAATACACTATATAGATAATACTTAAGTGATATAATTGCACATAATGTAACTAGTTTTGAACAAGACCAGCTCATTTACATAGAAATAAATTATTGATAGATTTTGAAAAGCGTCATTTTACGGAATTATTAGTTATTCGTTTTATGTTTTGGGTGAATGAATAATATTTTATTTTTAACATAAATATCGAGAATTAGAGACCTATGTACCTAATAATATATATATATATATATAATATACGAGATAAATTTTCGATAGAATTTTTTAAACCAATTTCCGATCTTTTTGAAACTTGAGCTTTTAGAATGGTCATGAAGAAAAGTCAAATTTTTAAAAATTGTCCTGCTCTCTCCCCCATACCTCAAAACTACCTTCCCTGACTATGGGTCCCGGTGCAGCACAAAAATATATTCACCCCCCACCTAAACATTTCTGGGCGCGCCATCGCTTTTCTACGCATACATAAAATACAGGAGCCAAGTACCATACATAAATCAGGTTGGCCAACCTAAGCGCATAACTTGAGAACATAGACTTCTCCCTTCTCCCCTCCCATTCTTGCTTTGCGTTCTATATAATAATAATAATTATAATGCGGTATAAAATGTTCCGCCATCATTATAATAACTAGTGATGCCGTTTATCTTTTTTTTTTTTCATTTCACACTATATAGAAATTTGATGACTGCCTTATGCATTTTTGCTGTTCACACGTTTCTTATGATTATTTATTATTTTGTTTACACATTTTCCTCTGCTATGACCAACATTGAAGCGTTTTGTTTTGTTTTTTATGGGCTAATGTTTTTGTAAACTTTTTCTGTTCCAATAGAGTAGTTATGATCGCTATAATTATAGCGTGTAGATGATTTTGTATGGTCAAATTGGTCAATCAAAGGCAAAGGCACGCGTCTCATGAAAAAAAAGAATCATAACCCTCCCCTCCCACCAGCTGGGTACCTAGTACCGAGTGTTTAGTGACTACTGGCGTTACGGCGGCAACAATTTTCAATATTTCCGATCCGTCCGCTGGTTTTTCCTTCGTTCCGACATACGCCGTGTTCACTGCAGGCTGTAGATCTCTTCCCGCCGCCCCGTTAGTTCGGCAGTTTAGTTATACTGTAGTACGTTCCCGGTCGGTTCTCCGCCACTTCCTTTTTCCTGCGCTACGTCATAGAATTTTGTGATCACGTGACCGGCAGCGCCATCTTGCTTGATTTTGGTATTTTTGTTGGCTCCCT